TCGTAGTACCAGTAGTCGTACGGGCCCGCACCGTCTACGCACCGGCCGAAGTGCAGCAGACATCGCATGTAGTTATCCGGCCGCATGCGAACCGTCTGCTCGGTGCACGACTCGGGCGTGTGGATGTGACGGACGCCGGAAGCAACTGCGGCAGACGTCCAACACAGCAACGCCAAAAACCGCGTGGCCGAGCGAACGGACATCCGTATAACGTGATAGGGCGCTACGGTGTTATTATGATCACTTGTCGACTGCGACGACCAAAACGTTTTGCGAGCGACTGGCGAGTTCAGGCAGAGGCGTTCGCGAAATCGCGACCACCGCCAAGTCGTGTATCCTGTTCGAGAAATCGCGACGATTTTTTTCGACGGACGGCGAAATCCTGAGCGCGACGAATTCCGGAAAAACGCCGAGGAAAAAAAGAACGAACTCGAAAAAAATAAAAACGATTGCAAAAAAACACAGAGAAATAGGCACCTACGATTAAACGTGTTCTGTTGTCATGGAATGATCGGTATTCAAAACACCAGTCTGCCGAGTGCCGATATAAGTTGTAAAATTTGCGGAACATTTACGAGAAAAATAATTTCTATCCTTGTACTCGACAATCTACCAGTCTACGGTATAAACTTTGAGACGCACGATAAAAACCTATAAGTCTTTATCGACTAGAGCCGGACCTGTGGGGGGGATGGGTGCCCCGAGCACTGTTGGTGTAAGGGCGCTCTTCAGCTGATGAAAAATAAAAAATAAAACTATAAAACATGAATATTTGAAAAATATGTATAAATTATAATATATTTCCAAACTTTCCACTGAGAAAAAATTAATAACGCACAGTAGCACATATTATATAATGTTATCTTTAAGAGGACGCCACACCGATTACTTACACTAGTAAAATTATGTTTACGGAAAACCAACGAAAATTCCTTTTTATGTCATTTTAGCGTAAAAACACTTAATATACAATAAGTAAAGAATGATATTTTTAAGTGAACCACTATCTTTGTCCGAAATTGACGTCTTATACATTATACAGTTACTAAGTCTTTATCGGTTTGTTTGTTTTCGGAGAAACCCCAATCCGATGATCGATGATAATTGTATATTAGGTACCCAGGAGGGAGCTTTGGGGCTTAAGCCCCCTCCAAAAAAAAATATTTTTATATTAAATTATACATTATTATAGCAAATAATAGCCAAATATAGACTATAGTATAATAATTATGAATTATAATGTTTAATAAACTATGTGGTAATAATAAAAAAATAAATAATTATTTAATAATTAATTGTAATTGTTTACTTGTATGTAAGGAAAGTAGAGAAATATTTAAGCTCTCCCCCAAACAAAAATTCTGGGTGCGCGCCTATAGGTACCTATTTAATGTTGAAGTACACTCTACGAATATGCGATTGTATTATATTTTAAATTGCTCATTAATTGCTTTCATCAAATAACCGATTTTATTTTTAAGACGATTTTGTTATATAACATTCATGACATCTTCCGGTGTGTAACGGGGACTGACAAGTCCGTCTGGTTTTAACGCCAGCGGTATTTCACCCCTTTATTTAATCACGTAGCCTCCTTCTCCTCCTTCAGCCAATCGGCAGGGTGAGCTCCCTGGAGCCAAGCACTCCCATACATTCATGATAATGGTTTAAATGAGAAAATTTATAACATAAAAATATACTTTATGTTTTGTATTTAAACATTTTGTCTGATGTTGACATCCGACACACCGCATAGCTCCATCCATGATAGCCAATTATCACAATATCGATACCTCATAGCCCATAGACCAAATATAATAAGTTCGATTTTTTAAAAAATGTTTTATAAGTTATTCGATCAAGAAATCTGGACACTCTTTAAAATTCATTAAGTGTCCAAAATTATGAAAACTGTTATTATTGTAAATCTACTTCATCAGTCATCACAAATAATATTTAATGAACTAATAATGTTTTCCAAAAAATTGCGACATGAACAATTATTTTAAAAAGAAAAGTTTACTTTGCTGTTCATTTAAAGCAGTTAAAAGTAACTTGTCCAGACGTTTTTGACAAAACTGATAAATTTAATTAATGAAATTATTATAATCTAATTACCTGGTAGTATGACATATTATACGCTATCTATACATAATAACACTAATATAGTAATAACAATATTCCTTTTTAAGTACATTAAATTTCCACTCAAGAATTATTTAAAATATTATATAATGAATTATTATTTAACAATAAGTTTTATATCAAACGTAGTTTTATTATAAGTCAAAAATCACATTTCAAAATAAACTAACTTTGATTTGAAAACTTGAAATAGTGCTTTAGGCTTAAGTTCTTTAATATTTGTGATAAATTTGTTGGCCTTTTATCCATCAGTGTAGCCAATATAGGTTTATAACATATGGTTATATAATATTACCACTGGTTTAAAAATCAATGATAATACTTGTTTCATTATTCATCATCTTCAGATAATTATATTAAATTATTGTAGACAATAATAGTTACAAATTACCTAACAAATTATACATTATAAAAATAATATCAAGCAAGTTTTTACTAATACCATAATATTAATTTAAATTATATTATGTTAAACCACACCAAATTTTAAGGTAAAAATATTTTTTAATGTCCTCCAGTCTAGTGTTTTTTAATGATATTTTATATTTAAGCGAGTTAGAAGGTTTATAAATATTAGTTTTTAACTCACAAGTCTCACTTCAAAATTCAAATATCATTAAAATATAACAAGAGAACACAAACAAGGTTCTTACCTTTAAGATTAATAATACAATAATTCACTCTAGTATGGAAAACACAATTAATATAAGCTACTGTATGTAAATTTTGATATGCTAACCACATGTAAAATGGAAATCAACACATACAAAAATTTTTCTTTAAACTAACGACATTTAATGAAAAATTTTCATAAAATATGACTATTTGTAGAAATTATCAATTTATCTTACCACAATTGATTGAAAAATATTTTATTAAGTCATAAACTACATCAATATTTTAATAATATAAATTGACATAAAATAAAACATTTTAACATGCATACAATTCATAATAAATTTGTTTTAACCTAACCTTAATTGTTACTAATATTATCTAGTCTTTGACAATTTTAAATTAACCATTAATGACATGATGTCATTTGGTTAATCTATTATATGAACTTAAAAACTGTATATATTAAATTTAAATTATCTGTGTTAACTTTAAAAACTATTTTATTAATCTATTGAATTTTGTAAAACACTAGTAATTAGGAATCATCACTCATAAATTTATTTTATTTAAATTTTTTTACAAGAATATAAAATAATAATTAATTTTTTGATTTTATCTTGTTTTTGTTAACCTGGCATGTTTTTCCAAGTATTAGTTACAAAAATGTATTTACATTTTATATTCCATGGCATTATACGTCATACAAAAATGTTTAATAATTTTTTAAGAGTAATGCAAGAACAAAGTTGACTAATATTTGAGAAAAAAATCAAAATAAAGATCAATTTAAAAAAAAAAAAAACTTAAAATCTAAAGATGTCTTATTAAAAGTTTTTTGAAAATCAATACATTCTTATATATAATTAAATGAAACATTAAAATGGCATAGTAAAAATATTGAGAAATGTTTTAAAAAAAATAGTTTACAATTTTAAATTACAAACATTCATTTAAACTAAAGGATAACTGGCACTAGATGCAATACCACAGTTGTTTTTCTTGTTACGTGCCATCATTATATAACCTTGATCTCCCCAAGTCTTGCCCCATGAATTCTTAACAATCCAATAATCTCCTCCTTTGTGGTCAGAACCGTAACCAACAACAAGCACACCATGGTCTAATTCTGTGGAACTACAACGAGGATTGTAAAACACGCCTTTCTTATAGAATTGGAATTTTTCAGATGAAGCATCAATGGCAATAGACACTGGTCCTACAGTAGCTAAAGCATGCATAAGAGCATCTTCGTCACCTTCAGGTATGTCTACAAAACCTTTGTCAGTGGCTCCAGAGTTCTCTGGATTATAACGACACTTGTCATCCTAAAAGTAATTTCAAATAAATATTGTTGATAAATTATTAAGGAAACTCATATAGAACTTACCTCGGCTTCATAAGGGTAAGATTTTTCAGTATCTAATCCCTTGTTAGATTTAATGTACTTGAAAGCAAGATCCATAAGACCGCCTTCACAACCATTGTTACCAAATTTACGAGAGCAGTCAATTAGGTTTTGCTCACTCAATGATACTAATACACCAGTTTTACGGAAATGCTGTCCTTCCAATGCTCCAGTCTAAAATCATAATAAAATAATAACATATTAATTATTATAAAAAGTATTATACATAAAGAGATAGAAAATAAAAAGGCATATTAAACAAATATTGATACAAGTGTACTGCACTATAATGAAAAAAAATAATATTCATATTGATCACACACAATATGAACAAGTTATTATGAATTTAAAAAATGTCTCCAAGTCAAAAATTGTTTATACATGTTCTATTATATTATTTAAAATTAAATTGTGATGCAAATATATACCTCTGGGGACTGAAAAAGAATCCCCTAAATATTTTAGTTTATTTTAAATAAGTATAATAATTATACAATTAAAAAAGTCTTATAGAACATTAAAAATGTATAAAAATAATATTATTATAACAAATTAACCAAGAATATTTACACAACTCATACAAACATATTTAAATGATAAAATACAGATGAATAAAGTGAACTATACTAGATATCATAGAAAAATAAAATAAACGCATCGAGTTCCTTAGACTAATATAAACTCTACAACTCTAAAGTAATGTTTATTCTGTAATTTTAGATAATAATTTATTTTCCTGTGTACTGTATTATGATGCAAATGATATTCAATTAGTCCTATATTTTTGAAAATTTAGCAAATTGATATTTTAAAGAAATCATTTTCATATTACAATTAACAATTTTATAGCATAGGTACTAATACCATACAATTATCTTACAGAAATGATTTAAAGAATGTAATATTATCCAGTTATTAATATTTAGTACAAAATATATAGGTAATAAATAAAAAGTTAATTTAATATACCTAACTGAATAAACATGGAATTCTATAAAAATAACTTGACCTTAGTCATAACATAAATAAACAAGACAAAGCATTTTACACATTATTAAATAATTCAATTTAAGACAAAAGAAAACAACGAAATTGTATTCATTAAAGTAAAATCCATTTGATTAATAGCATTGAGATATTGTGTAATAATTTTGTATCATTACTTTTAATGATAATTAATCTGGAATGAGTTCTTTTGATTTTTTTATAGCTTTATTTCCTTTGACTTGATATTTAATATAACAATAATTTAAATTACATAATCATTGTCAAGATATATAGAAATATTGAAAACAAAGTTTACTGACTTCATTTAACCACAATTTTAAAATAAAAACAACTAAACCGTTTAGTTAACAATTAATGACTAAATTAATTAATTTTAAGAATAGTAAAAAAAATGCTATTTAATTAACAATGTTGTTTTTTTAAAATAAATAAATAAATTAATAAATTTATAAATTAATAAATAATAATTAAATAATTTATAAATTTTTTTTATATAAATATGTCTTTTAAATAATAATAATAACTTTCAGACTAACAAATAAAATAAATAATTTAAGTTTTTTAAAACAAATCTATTATTATTAGCCATAATAATTGGACTTTTATTTTTATCCATACCAAAAAATAATTAAAATATTGTTTTGAATTTAGGTTCTAATTTGGAAGTCAAACAATTTATGTACTTCATACACTTATAAGTATAAGAATATATATTTTGTTTTTATTAACTCAAATAAATAAATCTTGACAACAGAATTTATAAAAATTTTAAAGGATTTTAACGAGTTAAACAATTAATATTTAAAAATTATTTTTGAGTTTTGTGCAGATACACTTCATAAATCAAAAAAAATAGAAGATGTATAGTGATTGATGAAAAACTTTTAAAAAAAAACTTACAGCACTGAATGACCAGCACGATCCACATTGTCCTTGATTTTTGACTGGAGTCACATAACCTTTCTTCCTCCAGTCAATTGCTTTTGGAACAACAACATTTTCAGATTTCAAGAAGGTCACAGCTTCATCATTAGTGAAATTCTTATCACCACCAGCCAAACTGGGTTTAAATCCATTCATCATTTTAGAATATTCGTGTTGCATCTAAAATGTTTTTAAATCAATAATATACATTTAAATATTAAATTTGTCTATACTTACCAAATCACCAAAATGATTCATTTCCAAGGCATATGTTTCTTCACCAGCTTCATACAATTTATTATGTCTGGCGATTTTTAACTTGTTATCTAAATATACTTTTTTACGGAAAACCTCTTCTTTAACATCTTCATATACTTTCTTGAATTGAACCTTGAAATAAAATAATCAAGCAAATAAATATCGCAATTTCTTAAATGTAATAATGTTAAGATTATATATACTTTGAATAAGCTCCATTCTTCTTCAATAATCTCACTTAAATCTATTGCGCTTGCTGAGCTGATGGCAAAGACCACCAATCCCAAAACTATGACTACCTTCATCTTACTAAAAAAAAAAAAAAGAATATTCACTGAGTACTATTTTACTAATTTCTGTAATATTAATATCTAATTTAATAAAATTAGGCTAATTTAAATCATAATAATTATTTAATGACAAAAACAAATTTACCATTTAACAAATCATTTTAATATACATTGTAGCAAAAAATAGGCAAAGAAGTTTGTGATTAATACTAGATAGTCACAATAAAATTGTCAATTATTGAACAGAACTATTTCAGGAATTTAAAGGTTATCAAAACTGTTCCTACTGATAACATTCAATACCCATTGTGTAAAAAATTATTGTTATGTAATAATAATTAATATTAATTAAATCAAATGCATTTAATGATTATTTATGCATATGTTTATGTACTTCAACAATTTATATTGCTGGTATTGATTTTCAAGTTGCAAGATAATACTGTTGTTTATTGTACATTATACAATGTATGACATTATATTATAATTCATGCACATAATGCAACATAAAACATTAATAAACAAATCATAAAAATTAAACAGCACAAAGGTTAAATTTGTATGTACTAAGTGTAGAGCACAAATATAATTTACCTAATAAATTAAGTTAGAATGTTGATTACTTAAAAACTAACTATACTTTTAAAATACCAAAAATAATATTAAATTTTAATTTATTTACTTAACCTAAATTACGAGCCTTATTAAATAAAATTAAAATATACAAATAACCTTGTTAATTACATAATGATTACTAACCAACCATTTTTTTTCCTTAAAAAAAACCTAGAGATTTAAGATTTTATCTAAAATAGTCTTATAGTTTTGAAATGGGCGTATACACTTCAGACGAACATGACAGAAACAATAGATATCTACTCTAAATCCGGTCCAAAAAATTAATTCGCAATACAAATCATTTGACTGACTTGTTAGAAAAAAAAAATCTAATCTGATTAGACAAGAAACATCAAGTTGTCGAGAACACTTATAAATTATAATTCAAACAAGTAAATTAAACAAAAAAGTGTGCACATTATGCGTATTTACTATTTGGCTAGACGATCAAAATTGCATATTTTTCAAACGCCGGTCAAGCTAGGAACTTTTATTTGTCTATCGTGTTACATAGAAATGAACGGATAAACAAAAAATTGGAAAGAAGTCAAAAACATTTTACGAAAACACAGTTATTAAATATATCATCTTTAGAGTGAAAATAACTTCAAAATCAACTTACGTGTTTTATCGTAGACAATAGCGTTAACTGTAATCTATTATTTGTCTGCGAGTGAAATACAAAGGCTAAGGTTAGCAATGACGTGCACCTCAACAAAGCGTTAGTAAACTTATGTGAACGTGATGTAGTGGCGTACTGATGATTGATGAACAGCGAGTTAAGAAATAAGAGTACAACTCGATGCGTATCTGAGGGACATGTGAACGTTTAGACCAACTGCGCAATATTATTATAACAATGACGACGAACAACGTGAACAAATGGGAAGGGAGGGACCGAAGGCCGACTGTTTGTTGGCATGGAGGGGATGGTGGACCGGGGGGATCGAATTCGGCAGCGGACTTCTATAATCGTTATTGTTGATTATAGAAAAATCAATAAGTTTACATTACTATGAAATTGTTTATGTAACGTTTACATTGAATATATAATATTTAATATTTATTTATGGTATATACTAAATAAGCTATTGCTAAAACTACGGACTAGGTGACTAACGGTTACACAATAATAAGAATAATAAATTGCTATTTGCAATTACTTTATTAATAACATTTATTTATTTAACACCGATTAATTATGTGTAGAAACGTCTAGAAACACAAGAAACCAAAAAGGATTTTTCACCAGTCCCGCTCTAGTCCGTAGTCGACGGGGATATAACTGTACAATGGCATTTTCAAAGAGTAAAATATTATAATAATTGTATATTTTTAACGCTAACATTAATTGTATGTAATATCATGAAACAATTATTATTTAGTATGTATCAACAGCTTTTATTGTACTTTAAAAACCGCGACCGGTAGAAAATACTAAAAATGTAGTTTACAGTTTACTTAACAATTGTTGACGGATTTGTGGGTAGTTGCCAGTTACTACTTAATACAATATTCACAGTAAAATAATCAAATATTGATACATAGTCACACGTATTATATTCTTTTCGATTCCAACCTTGTGATCTCATCCTAGGCAACAAAGTATCAAAATAATCATTGTGTTTTATCGATTATTATTAAAATTGGTTTTATTAACGCCCTCTTCTAGTCAGTAATCAACAGCAACATAATGACTATATTCCGTGATCCGACTATTCCTACTATAATATCGTAATTTTATAGATAATAGGAAATAATTCCTAATATAACGCACATGTTTTGTAAGTTATATTTTAGGATAACACGTAGATAATAGATACTCTTGACTTTTTTAAAAACCCTAAACGGTAGACTACCGCGTATGTACACACGTACGTGTGTCTAAAAGCTTAAATTTCGACTACCAAACCACACTTTGGGGCCAATTTCGTTAACATTTGCCGGTCGAGGCGAACAAACGCACGGTAACGAGACGAGGAAGAGAATAAGAACGACGACGGCCGTGAGACGTAGGTAACTCATTTACGGCCCATGGGACTAAAAGCTAACAAAGCAATACGAAATAGCGAGCCGATGACCATAACTGAAGCAACGTCGTATCATAGTATAAGATATTATATGATAACAAAGAGTTCAGACTTCAGGAGTTTAAAACCGACAGTAACTATATAGACACAACCGGTTGTCGGTGTAATTCCGAGTTCGCCGTTTTCGGTAAACAATAAACATTAATAAACTTACCTCACACTGGTCGTCACGTGAACGGAGAACTTCTAAGACGGAACCGACTACTGAGAGACCTTCTCTAGGTCGTTTCGACGAGTGAACGAAACGCTCGATGAATCGTAATGGGATTTGCGGTCGTTTTCCGTTGTCACGCGGAAATTGTTCAAACAAAAGAAACGCAAGTATCGTACGTACAACGTAACGACTACTACAACGATATTCACTGTAAAAGTGTAAAATTGTTCAGCTATTCAAACCGACGTGTGATGCGTCGGCTATAGTGTGATGTGAATCATAATTTAATATTTATAATAAATTATTATTATTATTATTATTATTATGAATACGCGGATTACGGACCATTCGGCATTCCCTTTCTCAGACCGTTACCTCCGCAACCCGCCATTCCATCATCGATTTCAGCTGATCGTGATCGGCGGTCGTCGGTGTTACTTGTTGGTGTTGTTTTTGTTATGGTTGTTGTTCGCACGGACTCCTTTGTGTTTACGTTCGGGATCGCCAGCTGTGCCAGCTGTTGACCTACCGACGCTGCTGTACACAGATAACGCCACAGACCTTCTTATGCTATATTATATAATAAGTAATAACGTCTACAACACAGTAAATTGTAATAAATAATATCATTGACTATAGAGTAATGAATAATATTATAGTGTCTTACTTTATTGTATTAATCATTAAGGTCATTGCCCATTGGTCAATCGTCTACCGGGCGGCTATGGACAACATTAAGTAGTTAACATGATAATTTTAATGTATAGTTCACTGGAGCAAAATATTTCATGTTATTTATTTATTTATTTATTTTTTTTTTTGTTGTATTAAAAGATAATATTTACAATCTACACTCAACTAATAGTAGGTACAATAAGCACATTTTGTGAACAATTAAAATACATAATATTTTACATGCATACATGTTTGAGAAAACTGCAAAGTACAAATAATAATTATTAAAATTATTTATTTAGCGACAATATTATGTGCCATCGGTTTTTTGTATATAATTGCTATAATGTCGGCATTTTAGCAAACGTGGATTTAAAAAGATGATTTTATATTTGAGCGGAGCGATGAACGTATTGATTATAGAACGATGAACTGTTATATACTAATATAATATTGTGTTTTCACTAATTCGCATTTTGAACAGTAAACATGCTTCTATCATTAATATTGGTGGTACCGACGGTAGGTGGTTCCTGCACGTAACAATTTGGATCAAGTTGGTACATTAAAATTCAAAAGTCATATAATATTTCTAATACGTACTTTAAAAATAATCATGTAACACTAAAAGAAATTAGAGAAAGAGGGAAGTTTTATTCTTAACCAGTTTGGATGAAATCTAATTTAATATTCTTGTTATTAAATGAATAACTATAAACTTCTGTTTTTTATACTTAACATAATTTTTTAAATATTGGTGCTCTTTATGTTATTTATAGAAATTTGAAATTTTCTACTTTTATTGCCTAGTATTTTTTTTCGTTTCATGTATAATAAAAATTTGTTTTTCAATAAAAAATCATGGACATTTAATTTAAAGTTTTTAGAAGTTATACTTATCAATTATCATTAGTCGCATTTGGCGACCGTAGCAACGGATTATTGAACTGTCGGAAAAAAAGTCTCAGGAAAATTTATTAACACTCAATTCATTAATTACGTTTTACATGTTATATTATTAATGTGTCAAAGTTATGATCGTGATGAAAATGTATGAAGATTTTTTTTTATTTAATGTCGATTTTAATATAGCTGGACACTTAAATGAATTTATTATTCACGCATTTCCACCGAATAAACTACTTACATTCCTTGTGTTATGTGTTTAGTATACATAATAATATAACCTTTTAAAGTAACTTTTTTGTTATTTTTATTCGATTTTAATATTTCCATTACTGATCACAGAGCACAAAATAAATTACAGGTAAAAACTAACAACGAATTATTTGTATATTGTATTACAACGATCGAATACAGACTAATAACGTAAAAACAGTAAACATAAAAATATCTTCAATTTTATCGATCGACAAACGTTAAATTATATTATTTTTATAATCGTTAGATACCGTTTGTACAGATAACTAATGGTTTTTTCGCACTAACTCATAGGTACCTATTAGATAAAGTAAAAACTTAATTATATAATATTTATTTCGTAATTTAACGTAATTGAATACCATCGTAACTTCATTTTTTATAAACTATTGGGCCTTAATGAGAAAAACTTGTATGAAAATAATAATTACTAATTATTTGAATAATTAGTTAGTTATAATAATTAGTTTCAATTATGTTTTTTATTTGAATTTATTAACGGGTATTTTTTTCCCAGGGAGTTTTTACCGGGAATTTTTACTAGGAAATTTTCTTCCGGCAACTTTTTTTCCGTTTACCACGGATTGCGCATTATCGCAATGACTAAAATAGAAATTTCCGATAATCAGACTTCGACAAACATTATTAATGTGCCGACTACTCGTCTACCGATTGCCGTTTGGTATTGTGTTGTTAGTAATGCGTTTAGTAGTTTCCTTTTTAGTTGGCAATTTAGTAGTAAATGATATTGTTACAGAGAGAGGGTGTGGTAGCAAGGCCCCCACAGCTTATTTTGCAAAGAAAGATTTAAAATTCAATAAAATATCCGCCTATGCTCCATATAGTTAGCTCTTTCGTATTTTATTTGAATTAATTTATTTAATTTAATTTTTGTTTATTTACAGATCAGTCTCTTTCTTTGAATCCGTTACTACTATACAAATTGTAATCATATTCATTTTGGGATTTGGCTTTATCATATAACATACTTGTTATTTATGTTTTCTATTTTAATATTTTGTAACAATTGTTGAGCTATTTTAATCTATAAATTGTAGCTATAAATACCTAATAAAGAAAAATATAGGTATCAAATATCAATGTTCATTTTAAATTTTATCTTCTTCTTTCAGAATTAAGCCATTAGCTGTACAAAGTAATACGTAAAAAGAATAATATAATCGTATTATGAATAAATCCTTACAATATTGCGGGTCGTTATAAATACAGTCGATTACGGCACCGAGGTGTTATCATTTTTTTTTATCAGTGTTATCACATAATCTAATAGTATCACCCATATTAAATATTATAATATTATATTTATATATTCAATTATAATTTGGTAATTAACTCAATAAAGTATAATAATAATTATTAATTAATAAGTATAAAAATCAATTAAGTATAATAATAATAATGCTATTGGTCGTCAATTTTTAAAATAAATCAATAAATCAATCAAGTAATTTTTTAGGTATAAAATTAAAAATCATAATAATAAATACAAATTAGGACAATATTACGTCAAGTTAGTCTTTTGTTTTAGGTTTTTTATGGTTTCTCGGTAAATCCAATAACACTGTTGAACTACGTTTTGTTGGTAGCAGTGTTAAACCATTTTTCTTTGTAACCATTTCACTCATTTTACTATGTACATTATTTAAAGTATTTAGTTCTTTTGACCATTCTGGATATTGTTTTTCGTCTATGATGTATGTTAAGTCAATCATTTTTCTAAGCAATTCTCGACATTGAGCTGGTATATTTGAAATATTTTCATTAGCATTGGAGCTTGGATTAACGGAACTAGTGGCATTTTCATTGATATTGGAACTGTATTCAATTACTAATAATACAGATCATGAAATTCAAAACAATGTTACAGGTTTAAATGAAAACAATGAAAATGCCATTACTTGTGTTCATCCAAGCTCCAATGCTAATGAAAATATTTCAAATATACCAGCTCAATAATGAGAATTATAAACCTAAACATAAACAAAGACTAACTTGACGTAATATTGTCCTAATTTGTATTTATTATTATGATTTTAATTTTATAACTAAAAATTACTTGATTGATTTATTGATTTATTTAAAATTGACGACCAATAGCATTATTATTATTATACTTAATTGATTTTATACTTAATTAATAATTATTATTATACTTTATTGAGTTAATTACCAAATTATATTGAATATATAAATATAATATTATAATATTTAATGAGATACTATTAGATTATGTGATAACACTGATAAAAATGATACACTCGGTGCCGTAATCGACTGTATTTATAACGACCCCAATATTGCCCCTAAAACGTCGAGTAAATATTTTACTGACTGCTTATCAGAAGAGGTGCTATGAATGCACGATGCATCAACTGGGACAGGTTCGCGCAGGAACGTGGCTACACCAGAGCCTAAACCTAACCTCGTCAGCTGATTGTTTAAACCATCTCCCACTTTGACCAGCAATACGTAACTGAACGAAGTAATACCA